AATCGAGCTATTTAATAACTATAGGAATTAATATTTTCCCTTATAATACTGGAATAATCCAGTCTCTATTCTATAATAGATATAACTGCCTTTATATAATAATATCTATAATTATCCGAACTATAGATTCTGGTAAGTTATAAGGAGGTACTTTAATATTATACCTTTTATAAATAACTTCTAAATAAGTATTTAGCTATTTCTTTTCTTATTTAGATAGTAAGGTAATAGTATTACTAGAGACTAGAAGTAACCTAAGGGTATTATAGATAGTACCGGAATTAGAGGTTTAGTAGACTTTATAAACTGCCTCTTCCTACTAATACTATAGGCTAGTATAGAAATACTAAGAGAGAAAGATACTTCTATTCTAAATAGGATTAAGTGAATTAACTATAGTTAGTTTATATAAAGAAAGGATATTGGGTATATTATATAATAGAAGCAGTTTATAGTAATTATAGTTTTATTAAAGTATTATAGGAGACGATTTTATAGCTATTAAACGGTAGCTTATATTAGTAAATAATTATAGGGGAAAATACCCTACTAATAAGAAGATCTATAGTTTATAAATCGAAGAAAAGTAGTAAGTAGATCAAAAACTACTTTATTCTATATTTGCCTTTCTTTATATATATAATTACTATTATATCTCTATTTATTAAATCCTGTATTAATTAAAGAGGTAATAAGGACCTCTAATAATTGGGCTTAAAACTAAGACTAAAAGAGAAGATCTAAATTATTACTTATATTAGATAAAGTATTTTAAATAGCTAAAATATAAAGAAATGGAATTTATTACTATAAATATTATAATATATACTATTGACTTAGGAAGTTCAAGTCTTATTTAAACTATTTAAGTATACTAAAACTATTTAAATATACTAAAACTATTTAAGTAAGCTAAAACTATTCAAGTATACTAAAACTATTCAAACAAGTCCCAAAATAGTTCTAGTAGGCCTGAAATAGTTCTCTAAATAATAGATTATATTTAATTAGTATAAGTATCCTATAATATTAAATTAAAGAAAGTTGGAAATTAAAACTAAGATATTAGATACTAGGAAAAGGTATTATAGTAGCCTTTAGGGATATATAGAGCTATTTATTTAAAAGTAAAGAAATAGGATTTAAGGAAAGGATAATATAAATACTAACTAAATAGAAGATAAAAGGAAATAGTAAAATATCTCTTATAAAATATTTATTCTATAATTTATATAATTAAATAGTTTTAGTCTCTCTAAGCCCGATAATCTTAGGTAGCGGTCCTAAAGCTATAGGTTTATATAATTCCTATAAATTCCTTCTATTCTCTATATATATTTTATATATCTATATCTCTATTCCTCTCTTAGCATTCTAATAAATATCTTTCTTTAAAGCTATTCTAGATTAGATATAGCTCAAATTATACTAACTAAGTTTATTACCTTAAAATTTTTACTAATATAGTATTTATATTATATAATATTAATATATATAAGGCTCTATAGTTCTTTTATATATAAGCTACCGAGAATAGAGCTAGTTATTAGAAGCTTTACTTTTTTAATCTTTTCCTTATCTTAATAATTACTTCTAATATAGGACCGAGATCTTTACTAATTAGGCTCGGGCCTATAAGATATAAGCAGGCTATTATTCTTAAACTCCGGAATATATTCTCAAGTATCTTATTTTATTTATAACTTATTAAATTAATTAGAAGAGTAAAAGAGTATTATATACTTTATATTCTAGTTAAGTAATTCGGGCTTATTTATTTTATACCTTAGTTAAGTAATTCAGGTCTTAAAGGTTATAAGAGATTCGAGAAAATAGACTAGTATCTAAATAAGAATTATACTAGTTACTATTAGTTTTGAAATATATATAAACAAGCAAATAGAGCCTACTATTATTATTTATATAAATATTATTATAATTTTTCTAGTTAAGTAAAGCCGGCTTATATTAAGATTACTAGTTACTTTTTTTATTATTATATATTATTATTAATTTCTGGAGCCTAAATAGTTTCTGGCCTTATCTTATTAGTAGAAGAGTTATAGGGCAATATAATTATAGAGCTATTATTATTAAAAAGGCTAAGGCGGCTTAGTAATAGCCTTGAAAAACAGAGGATTTTAATAGTTTTATTATAGCTGCCTCTATATCTTTAGTAATTCTAGTTAGCTACTAGTTACTTAATAGTAAAGTATATTAGCCTTATAAAATATTTATATTATTACAATAATATTTCTCTTATATTCCAATTAGATATTAAAGGGAAAACCGTATTTAGTTAAGCTTATAATATTTACCTATATATAATAGTACCTTATAAATAGTATATAATAGTAATATATTAATATTTTTCGTATTTTATAGCTCTATTTACTATTATAAGAACTATTATTAAATAAGTATAATTATCTGGCTCTATATTATAGGGCTAAGTAATTGAGTAGCCTATAGAAGTAATAAGAAAAAGCTTGGGAAAAGGCTTAATAAGGTAGTAAAGTATAGTAAGAAGAGTTATAACCGGCAGATTTTATAGGAGATATATTCTAAGTACCTTATTATTATTACTCTGGATTTTGGGCTAATTTATAGTAATATAGTTTAAATAGTAAAATAATGAATATAGAGGCTATAACGGAGAACCTATTTATAGGAAAGAGGAATAAGAATTAGACTTGGAAGAAGGTATCTCAGATTTCGGGAATAGTACTATTATTAATATTTCTATATAGGAGATTATTTATATTCGAGAATAACTCTGAAAGTAAGGAAAGCCTTAAAGTCTATAATTATTCCTAAGAATACTTGAAAATCTGCTTTATAAAGAATTCTAGGATACTAGTTATATATACAAATATATAAACTATCTAAAATCTTTTATAAATAAACTCGAATTAGTAACCTAACCTTAAGTTATATCCAGGTTTATATTTATAATACTAAAAGCAGGAAATAGGAGGTTTTATAGAGATTCTATTATGGATTTAATATATTTTATATAGGTTCGACCTCCTTTCTTTTACTAATAGTATAGTAGCTCAGATAGAACTTTCTTTTTCTTACTATATATATAAAGTCGAGGAAGTATCTTCTTCTTAAATTTATCTAGAAATATTAGTTATTAAAAGCCTATTAGGTAAGAAAAAAATACTATTAGACGATTTATTATAGGTATATACCTATACTAAAAAAAGGTTAGAAGGGATCTTTTCTTCTCCGGATTTCTTTATAAGATTCTATTTTAACTTTAGTAGTAATATATCTATTTTAGTAAAAAGGCCGGTTTGAAACCTAGTATTTAGATAAAGTACAAGAAGTTTATTAAAACCTCTATATTTATAAAATATATATTCGGTCTTACTATTTTTATATAGGTTATTATAGTAGGCTTGGATTACTTCTTTAATAAGGCCTTTTAGAGTTTATTTTTTAAAAGTAGCTATCTCTTTATCCCGTTTTAAAGCCGTCTAAAAAGAAATAATAAGTTTATATAATATAATAACCTATTAAAAGTCTTTAAGCTTAGTCTCTAGATATAAATACTATTCTACCGAAATACTAAGAAATCCCCGGCAGAGCGAAGTTTTCATTTCTATAAGGTATTTATTTAAATTATTAAGCTGAGCCTCTAATAATAGTAGCGGCCATTCTTCTATTATACTAGGTATTATAGTAGGGCTAAGAAAGAGCTATAATTGTAATTAAAAGTAAATAGAATAGTTCAAGTATAATTAAATAATTTTAGTATAATTAAATAGTTTTAGTATACTTAAATAGTTTTAGTATATTTGAACGGTTTTAGTATATCTGAATAGTTTTAGTATAATAAAAAAAACTCTAAGTATAATAAAATATTTGAAGTATAGTAACTATAGGGTAAAGAAGTATTTTGATTTATTAAGTAGCCCGGATATATTAATACTTCTTATAAATACACTTATACTATTTTAGCGATTATGAAATCAGATAACTAAGAGTAGTAGTAACTGCTTTTTAGCTAGTCTCTACTGGTTTAATCTATTTCCGGCTAACTATAGGCCTGGATTCTCATCTTGGTTTTGGGTGAAATAGTAGTATAGTAGTATATATCTACTATCTACGGATAATTAGGAGACGAGATCTGGAATTATAGTACCTTTAGAGTTTACTATAGGTAAACTAATTAATTAGACCGAGTTTGAGTCGAATCTTTATTATTGGGATAATATAATTATTACCTCTGGTATAATTATATTCAGGTACTAGACTCTGGTTATTAAGATAGAATACTTTATAAACCATTATTTTAATATAGAAAACCCAGTACTCTATACCAAAATATACTATAGTAAGGGTATTAAGTATAAGAGATTTCACCTATTAAATAAAATAGACGAATTATGATCTTACGGATAGCCCAACCAATATCTACTCGGAATATATTTAGGGCCTTTATACCAGGATCTTGCCGGGAAATACTGTTTTCTTCTAATTATAGAGAAGGTACAGGATATATGGGAGCATATTAGCTATACTTATATGTACCTGTAAACTGTAATATTCTCGGATAAGTATATTGGATTAGTAAAACAATTATTACTATTAATTAGTCGGGAGATTCGTTTGCCTTCGAAATTTTAGCGGAAGCTAAAATAAGAAGGTTCTTTAAAGAGAAGAGAGTACGGGGCTTTTTTGTTTTTTTTTTGTTTAGTAATCTCTTATATAATCTTGTAGCTTGTAAGCTAGTGGCTTGCTATTTCCAATGTACTGCCTTATTGTACTTCAAAGGTGCCGCTACCTTACCTTGCCCAAAGTAAGCCTTCCATAGCTATCCCTCTGTTTTGCGTCTGAACGACATCTCAGCAAGTAGCAAAGCCTTCCAGATACTCATCTAACCTATCGAGCCATTATCCTACGTACTAATACAGCCTCGTCGTTGCAGTTGAACACGAACCATCTTCAGCAGCCTTCCCTCTCTGAGTCCCGTGTCCGCCCGAGTGACAATGCGTCTCTTAGAACTGCAACCAAATGGGAAAATCTGCCTAACCAGATATTTCCTCGAGAACGCGATCCCTCAATATGCCATTCTGTCGCACACATGGGGAGATGAGAGCGAAGAGGTCACCTTTCAAGACGTGGTCGAAGGTACTAACCAGGGCAAGGCTGGGTTTGAAAAAATCAAATTCTGCGGAAAACAAGCTGCTAGAGATGGATTGCAATACTTTTGGGTTGACAGTTGTTGCATCGACAAATATTCTAGCACCGAGGTTGCCGAAACTATCAATTCTATGTTTCGGTGGTACCAGAACGCAGCCAAATGCTACGTTTATCTCACTGATGTTTCCAGCCCGCTCTACGGCGACCACGATAAGGTCACCCAGTTGCCTTGCGAATCAGCTTTCCGGGCAAGCAGATGGTTCAAACGGGGCTGGACACTCCAAGAGCTCCTTGCTCCGCGGTCGGTCGAATTCTTCTCCAGAGAAGGTAATCGAATCGGTGACAAGACAAGTCTAGAAATACAAGTTCACGAGGTGACTAGAGTTAATGTTTTAGCGCTTCGAGGAGCTTCTTTATCTCAATTTGGTATACAGGAGCGATTGTCGTGGGTATGTGATCGCGAAACTACACGCGAAGAAGATTCTGCTTACTGTCTTTTGGGTATTTTCGATGTCTGTACGAAGGCGGGCGGCATTAAAAATCGTCCAATTTGCTAAGCGAGGGCGGGCATAACGTTGACTCTCACAATATAAAAATTGTCGTAATTCCGTATTATATTTAATTATTGAGAAAATTTCTCAAAAGTTAGATATGCTTCTTTTCTACCTCACAAAGCTATTTTAAAGAGTTTTAGGGGCTGCATTGAGATTTGGTGTGATTTTCCAAAGGTAGCGATTTTGGTGTTCCTCGCTTTTTAGCGGATGGACGATTTTTAATGCCGCCCGCCTTCGTATGCCGCTACTCTATGGCGAAGGAAGGTTGTCGGCTTTGGAAAGGCTTATGGAAACGATGAGTAGAAGGATCAATAGTGGATCATCTGGTCAATCAACGACACCCTTCTCGAAATACAGAAATATATCCGAATACCAGTCAAGCTTGGGTTCCGCTGAAGGAGTTGTCTTTGAAGGGCACTATGGCTGGGTGAACGCAATCGCCTTTGCTCCCAACGGCGATCAGCTAGCGTCAGCGTCCAATGATCGGACTATCAGGCTATGGGACACAACTACGGGGCAGCAAATCCAACAATTCGACGGGCATAACCAGTATATTAGCGCCATTGCCTTCTCCCCAAGCAATATATTAGTAGCCTCAGCGTCAAGCGATCAACAGTTAGGCTATGGGATTTAGCCACGGGAGAGCAGGTTAAGCAGTTCGAAGGACATACTGATAAGGTTAATGATGTTGCATTTTCCCCCAATGGCCAGCAGTTGGCGTCGGCAAGCGATCGGACAATTAGGTTATGGAACACAGCAACAGGAGAGCAGACGGGGCAGTTCGAAGGACACGAAGACTACATACGCGCCCTGTCCTTCTCACCTGACGGCAAGCAGCTGGCATCTGCATCGTTCGATAGATCGATTAGACTGTGGGTTACAGAGACTGGGAAGCAGTCTCAACGATTCGAAGGGCATAACAATCATGTCCGCACTATTTCATTCTCTTCAGACGGCTTGCGGCTAGCCTCGGGTTCGAGCGACAAAACGATACGATTATGGGATATAATGACAGGCCAGCAGATTCAGCAGCTTGAAGCATATGACACTTGTATTGGCGCCGTGACTTTTTCTCCGGATAGTAAACACTTGGCATCTGCTTTAGGCGATGGAACAGTAAGGCTATGGGACTCGATAACAGGAAAGCAAATCTGCAGATATAACAGGCACAGCTCATCCGCCCGTTCCGTTGCCTTTTCCCCTGATGGAAGGCATCTGGCGTCGGGTTCGAGTGACTGGACTGTGAGAATGTGGTCTGTAGTGACGGAACCGACATATGACAGGAAGGCTTGAATAGAGAAATTGATGCAATTACAAATATGCACTGTACTGGTACTTATGCTACATGATTATGATCTGACGCTTGACATTGAGAAGTGGAAGGTCGATTTTCCCCCAAGAAAAGTTCTAATACCTTAATTGTGGGTTTATAGTTATTATAGCTTAGGGAGGTGTTATAGCCTATATACTATAGTAGATAGTAAATTTCCCGAAAAATCATCAGACTATATATAGTAAATTACTTGTAATCTTGACCGTAAGGCGCAGAAGTGAGCAAGAATTGGCTATATACGGTACCTTTGGAGTATACAGGGGTATATAGCCACAAGTGTCTTGGAAATGGACCCTACTAAATATAATTAACTAAAAAACAAGTAATAAGCAATTTACTTTCTATATTACTATCAAAATTTATATCTTTCTAATAAGATTCTATTACTTTAGCCAATTTCGAAGGCTTTATACAAGCCGCAGGCTGGCACCCATATAGGCTAGTAAGTGCCTTCGAGGGGAAGAGAGCAAGGTACTTTCGGCTTTTTATTATTCCGTATTATATTTAGTAATATCTTAAAAATCTTATAGCTTGCCTTACTATTTCGGACCGCCTCGATATTACTAATACTGCTCTCTTTTTATATATTCGAAAGTGTTTTGCTTTATTCTTTATAACTTACTAACTACTAAACTAACTTATATTTCTAATATTCTAATTAATTTCAAAGGCTTTACATAAGCTACAGGCTAGTACCTATATTATACCAGATATAGTACCAGAAGTATAAAAGTCATTACTAAGCTAAATGTAGTACACTAGGCCAGCTACTATTAGCCTTTATACCTAAGGCTTTATAAATGAAATTATACTCTAAATATTACAAGTATATATAGGGCTGTTTTGCCCTAACCAAAAGCGTTACTTGCTTTAATCCGAAGTACTAACCCGTATAGTAATCTTATATAAATATATATACTATAGTAGCTATAAAGCTACTAATGATTTCCTATATAGTAGTAAGGTCTTAAAGCTCGGATAAAACCCCTTTATAAATATTAGGGATAATATAATCTCTATAGTAGAGCTATAGTAGAGGAAGTCTATAGTATTATACTATAAAAGAAGACTCTTTATAAATCAGATATAAGAGTAATAATATAAATGTGATTTTTTAGTAAGAAGAATTTAGGGTATCCGGAAGTAGCTACAAATTATAACCTATAGGAAAATATAGGAAATATTAAGATATATATAGATTTTAAGATACTTGAAGTCAAAGTACCTATTATTTTTTCCCGGTATATAAGGTTTTCCGCTATATAAGGATAGATATTAGGATATTAGTTAACTAGAAACTCCGGAGAAGTTATAGGAATAGTATAGAGAAACGAATATTTATATAATAGTTCCCAAGAATAGATTATAGATAATCTTCTAAGTTCCTATAAGTTTTCTATTATTTTAATAGATTACTAGTTACTCTTATAGATATAATAGTACTCAAAGTAATAGAGGAAAGAGTAGAGAGAACTACCGGAATAGAGAATAAGACATTTATAGCTATAAGTAGGAGAAGTTAAATAAGAAGTAAGATTTTAAAAAGTATAAATTAAAAGAGTTACTTTTACTATTAATTAGTAATATTTATCTTAATTTATTCCAAAGCCTTAATAACTAATAGTAAAATGCCCTCTATAAACTCCTATAATAAGAACGAATTATTTAATACCTATATAGCTCTAGTTAAAAAGGTCCTATACTGTCCCTATAATATATATAAATCCGAATAAAATCCCTTTTTAATAGAATTAGCTGGGATATATATTTGAATTAGTATATAGTTATTAATTACTATAATTATTATCCTATAGGCTAGAAAAGTTCCGGATTTTTATAATAGGGAGATATTAGAGTTAATAAGGGTTTCTGTTTAAGAATACATTTATAGGAAGATAGAGACTATAGAGAAAATATAGAGGTTAGGAATACCGGAATATGAGAAGTAAAGAATATATAGAAAGGTCAGGATATTTAGTAGGAAATTAGTAATAGTATTAATAATACTAGTATTAGTAGAAATACTACTATAGATAATACTAGTATAGTAGTTTATATATTACTATTAACTAAATATACTATACTTATAGTAATCTAGCTTAAAAGAAATTAGATTATCGAGAATAGGTAGAATTATTATTAGTAGCTTCTTTGCTTTAATTAGTTTAAGGCCGGTTAGGATTTGAACTATAATATAATAACTAATATTAATATAATACTTAGTATAAACTAGTATATTTCCGTATAAAACTAAAGATCCAAGAAGTACTATTACCTTTTAGTATAGCTTACTATTATTATAACGGGCTATAGTTAGATAACTACTAGTAACTATACTTTCTAGCTAAGGAAGGCTAAAGTTCTGGAAAATATAAAAAGTAGATAATATAAAAAAGTCTCTAATATTATAGATAAAGGTAAAGATAATTAGAACTATATCTTAAATACCATATTTAGTAATAAAGTTATTAAATAGAAGTAAAAGGTTTATAGGAATAGGGTTAGGAAGTTTATAATCTCTTAATAGATATAGGAATAATAAAAGCTACTAAGCCAGAATTTCTAGAGTAATTATAGAATTAGGTTAGCTATATCCAGATATAACTTTTCCGGTTTTTAGATCTATATATTCGGTAGTAAAAGGGTTTATTAAAGAAACGGATATTAGAAGGATATTAAACCGACTAAAATAATTAGTAATAACTAAGTAGTTATAGAAATCTTATATTCTATAATTAACCGGGAAGTTTATAATAGGATTAATAAAGGTATTAGTATATCTACTAAATATATTTGACTTTTTAATAACTATAATAGTTTTTCCTAAATCTTAGCTTAACCGAATAGTTAAATAGGTTTCTATTAATTCTTTACTAATAATATAAACTATCTAGTAAGTTAGTATTTAAAATCAAGAAATTCTAGTAAAATAAGAAGTATTAGAGCCGTATTAGCTTCTGTAATATAGAGATAAAGGCTCGATATAACTACTTAAATAGTATTAATAGAGAGAGATAAAGCTTTAGTATAAAAGCAAGTCTTACTATTAATAGTAATTATATTAGTAGCTAGGAAGTTATAATATTTATTAATAATTAGTAAGGTATTTATAATAGCAGAAATAGCTTTTTATTAAAATAGTATAATAATAGAATTAGCTATTAGTTTAAAGAATATAAAAGTATAATAGCAGAAATGGCTTTTTATTAAAATAGTATAGTAGTAGAACTGGCTACTTATTTAAGGAATATTAAGGTATGGTAGTAGAATTAGTTTCTTATTAGAAGAGGTATAAAGATATATAATAGTAGAACTGGCTTCTAGACTTAAAATTAGTAAATAAATACTAAAAATAGCTTTATTTCAACCTTATTTAATATAGGCCTAGTAGTAATTATTTTTAGAACATCTTTACTATTATATTTCTAATCTTAATTAAGTACTAAATAAATAAATATAGCTATAAGAGTAGAACTATAACTTACTATTATAATTTTAATTTCAAGCTAAAATTATAATTTAAAGAGAAATATTTCTATACCAAATAATATAAGTTTAATTACCTATTTTCTAATTAATATTAATTCTTCTTAGGGTATTATTTAGCCTTTCTATAGACGATCTAATAACTTTCTACTAAATAATTAATTAATTCTATAACCCGAATTTC